GATTAAAGTTCGTATCGAATTCGGTCAAATACTCAAAAGCTCGACTCAATCCGTTTAGGCAAAATTGTTTGCCACTTCGCCGCTTCGGGGCGCACAAACGGGGATCGACCTGCCCGGTCAAGTCGCGATGGTCGAGGGGGCAGCGCCCCTCGTGGGGGGTCGAGGGCAACGCCCCCGAAAGAGAATTTTGATTTCTCTGCATGTATTGAAGGGTATATTTGGCATTTCGAAAACCAATATCGAATGAATGAGAAATTACGAAAAAGACCTCAACCATTAGTGAATAGACACCTTTTCATAAAGGTGCATTGTTTGGAAAGGGTGCATGGTTTGGCCTCAACCATTTCGTCCACACCCCTTCATGGTCTATAAATAGGACCCTTTGGGTGTCCTATTCCTCACAGTTTGATATGCAAAAACGTCTCTCATCCTCTCTTCTATCCAAAATCAAAATCATTTCATTTATTTTGATTTTCTTTCATTTCATCTGTGGAGTACATAAGCCTACATTGGGTTCGTTGTACTTGTGTTTTGGAGTGCTACAAACACAAGTGTAGCCGTTGTATCTTGGGAGTCGATTGCCGAAATCCGTAGGCACCGTTGCGGGGCAAATTCGACTTAAGGACAAAGAGTCCAACTCTTGCCTCGGCTTTGTCACCATCATTATACTTATTTCGGCGTCACTATTCACAAAATTCTTCCAACAAATTCCATTTATAAAAAAGAACGAAAGAAAGAAATACAAAACATATATCGGGTGGAGATATGAGAAAAAAGAACATGAAATGAAATATAGAGAATTGAATTCAAAACGCCAGGAATTTTCAAGCCAAGGATTGATTTTTCTGCCTTGATTTCTGCAAGGTTTCTCCCTTTCTGGGGATTTTGGTGGATTTTGAGCCAAATTTACATAGGAGAGAGATATTGAGTAATGCTACATGTGTGCATAATTATTTATAGATTGATGACATGTTATTATATCATAAATCATTAATAAATAATTATGTACCAATAGCATTGCACTTGATTTTTTAATGTTCTTTCGAAGTTTTTTTTTAATTGAAAATATTCTTTCAATTTTCAAGAGGTCCGAATCTAGATATTTTTCAAGCTGAGGTATCTTTATGTAAGACGTTCTTTCAATCTCTATATATTTTTTAGGACAACGTTGCTACAAGTACATTTTGATTTGGCGTACATCATGGATTACATTCTTCCAAGTGAATTTACATCTTTGGTTTTCCCCTACTTTTTTAGTGATCTATTCATAGGCCTCATATGAGGGGATTTTAATCATATGATATTATTTGATCAATATTGGACATGAATAAATCTCGTTTTTAAATTTTATGGATGTTTGTACTCGTGTGACATTTGTTCAGATTTTCATTATTTACACGGAAGGGCTTAATGCAATAACTTTTAGATTGATTTTGTCAGAATTTACAATGAAGCTTCTTTCCATATGTGAAGCCCCTAATCCTATTGCTGGCGGAGGACTCTAGTCTAGCTCCTTGCAAAGTGCTAGGGTTCGGCATATATTTTTGCCGAGTGGAGCCTCAATGATCGTGGTATTTTTTGGCCCGATGGTTCAACGAAGAAGCATAAATCTTCATCCCTTGACATGAAGGCATGTGATGTACCCTTTCTCAAAATTGATGTGGTATTCATGTGGACCATGATTATTTCTGTAAATAACATTAGCCCCCAAATTCGAATTTCATATTTATGTGATTTGAAGGATTTTGATATTTATTTACTTCTAGCACTGATATATCTAAACTGTAAATTTTAACAATTGCGCAACTTCTCATGTTCTTTCAAAGTGTTATAGTGAGTAAAGACTAAAGCATAGTAGATCAACTTCTATTGATTTTTGAGGTATTGAGAATTTGATGCTTTGGCTTTCTTGTGCTACTCCACATTTGAGGAAATCTATCGGAGGCATTCGAGTCGGTGGAAATTTGAAGATGATAGAATTGGTTTTTCTTTCATTTAGATATATTTTTTTCATGAGGAAAACTCGAAGCCTAGATGTATTATCTATCAAATAATTATTTCAATTTCGAAACATTCTCAATCGGAGATGTGTCAATTTCCAAAGAGGTTGGTATTCTAGCATTCTTTCTGCCCAAGATTGTGTATCGATTGGAGATACCTTTCAATCCTTGAGAGATGACTCATGTAGATCAAATGAGGTAAGTCCAATGTGAATTTTTAGCCTAACTCTTGCTGAGGATACATGAAATTTTTCAATCAGTTATCTGGCTTAATAGGTCTCAAAATCCCTCATTGATTTTTTGAATCAAAATAGAGCTAGCAAAATTCCTTAACAAGTTAAAGAGGCATGCCTCAACAATGAGCTAGGACTTACAGTTGGCCTCTAGCACGAGCATCAGTGATAATCACCAGCCAAGGCTCGAAAAATTTAAGAACAACTCGAGTCCAAAATCACGCCTAGATGATGACTTTGACATCAGATATAATTATCAGCCAAAGTTCGAAGGATCTACGGATTGACTTTGGGTAAGCGAGGAGGACTCATAGTTGACCGCTAACCCTAAGCATTAGAGAAAATCTCGAGACGAGTATACGTGACAATTATGGTGATCAAGAACCCAGTCAGCAAAAAATAGTATGACTTTCAACAGTCTGTAAATACCATGGCTAATGGAATTCTCCCAAACTTAGGGGTGTTTTTGTAGTTTATTCTAAAAGTTGGGGGTCTATTTCATTGCACTTTTCATGAACTGTATGTATACACACAGGCACAGGCGCACAAGTCTCGCACAAATCCTCCGTCGCTTTCTTCAGTTCATAATTTTGAAGTTCTTTGACTCTACATTCTCTATCTTTTTGTGCACGGTCATTCGAAATCTAATTTCCAAAATTAGGGCACAAAAGAATTAATCGCCGACTAATGCCGAAAACTTTGTTAAAGATGTAATCCGAGGGCATTAAAGGAGTAATTTAGCAGAAATTTGAGGCAAATTGAGTATATTTATTATTAACTTGCGATTGTGTTAGGGTTTTGTTCTGCATGAAGGGTCCGCTAGATCGAACGAAGGTGGTGCTGCGGCACTTGCTGCCCACGATTTCTCATTCGGCGCTAATCGAGCACGTCGATTCCCGCTTCTCTGGTCGCTACCGTTGGCTCTCCTTTCATCCTGGCAAGTCCAGGTTAGGATTTACATTTATTTATGTCTATATCGTGCGTATGGTTTGAGTATATGTGCATTTATTAATTTAGTTTGATGATCGATTTCTCTTTGTGCTTTTACATGGTTTTAATTTTGGAGTACTTTTTCCCGACAAACGCTCACCTTACTGTGCCTGTGAGAGGGATGTTTGAGTTAAGTGGAATTGAGGTGGGAAATTTATTAGACGTACAATATTTGTGAACTCTGGAGGCAGGTGGGGGTTTGGGGATTTAATAGAAGGGTTGTTGTTTAGCTATGCTGTTCTTATTTTTCCTCCAGAATTGGTTCCCTCCAGATTGAAGTATTTTAGCTCTACTATTTTGACAAATATTTGAGAAAAAGATATAAAAGTTTGCTGGAAATGATCAGTGCAATGTTTGTTGTCCTGGTAATGTGGCTTAAGGCAGACTCCCCATTCATTAGATAGAGGAGATCACCAAGATTTCGTGATTTGTTGCTGAATTGACTGGGTGGTAGTGTCGTGGAAATGCTTCTTTCTTCCATATTTAGACCTTAGTTCCATGTTTGGGGAAGTGATACAAAAGTTGAAATATAGATTTATTTCATTGTACGTGGGAAGGAAGAGTGAATTTTCTTTATGTTAATCCCCACACCTATTGTCCTTGGTAATCTGAATCTATCTGAGGGATTGAAATTTGTTTCTTACTGATGCATATATACTTTAGTTCAATGGAAAAAATAATTTTTATATATGGACATATTTTGGTTCAGATAGGTGCTTCACTATGGGTTTTATTCCTTTCTCTCGGAAATAAGATTCTTTGATAAAAGTAATTGCAATTGTATCATATTACTCGGAGAATCATCATTCCCATTACAGTAATCCTTTTGAATGTAAGGATCTGTTTCTTACATTTAAATGCATGCCAGTTTTGAGTAAGTCATTATGAGTTCTAGGACCTTTTGGAATTGGTAAAGGTTTCTACTCATTCTAAGTAGAGATAGAGTTATCAGATTTGGATTTTACCTTGATCAGAGATTTGATTGGTGGCATACAGGATGCTTTTGTCTATGTTTATACTCCCTGTTATACTACATGGATAGTTTCTAATTTTTTGGAGGATTAGTGCAGTGAAAAATGGCAAGAAGCAAAATAATACTGCCAAAATTCCATAATACAGTTTGTTTTTCGTTTGCTGTAATTTACACGTCAGATTTATTCTTTTCTTTTAAATTGAATTTTTAAACATCCAAGGCATTTTGGGAAACTCTATCGGCGTAACTGCTCTCGTCTCTTCTTTCAAATAAATTCCAACCACAGCCGTCTTGTCTTGTAGCGTCAAACAACAGTGGAGCTCGCTGGTTAAATGCATGCTCCTATTTGCATTTTAAATCCTTTTCGTATAGTTTTTTGGGTTCCTTAGCATGTTATGAAAAAGAACTAAAGATGGCCCAATATAAGTAATTAAAAAACAAGCCAATCATATCATAGATGCACCATTTCTTTCTGTAGTTACTATGGACCTCATATTCTTACCATGTTTGAGATTTTAACCATTACTATATGATGTCACATTAACTGCATAAAGGACTTAGTTGCTGTGCAATTTCGATACTGGTTGAGCAAGATGTATCTTTGCTAGCCCACATTTCCAACTATATTGTGCTAATTTTAGATAATCATTGAACTATATGTCCACAATTTTCTGCATATATGTGTGCGCGCGTGTATAATATATATATGTGTGTGTGTGTGTGTGTATATGTATATATACATACACACGCATATACATATCATAAATATGTATTTATCTATATATGTGTGTGTGTGTGTGTGTAATCAAAGCTCATATTTATTTGAAAATCCACCCCCCCCCCCCCCCCCCCCCCCCGCCCCC